GAGAGAGAACCGAGAGAGAATCGAGAGAGAACCGAGAGAGAACCGAGAGAGAACAGAGAGAGAACGGAGAGAGAACCGAGAGAGAACCGAGAGAGAACCGAGAGAGAACCGAGAGAGAACAGAGAGAGAACCGAGAGAACAGAGAGAGAATTGAGAGAGAACCGAGAGAGAACCGGGAATGGCACCGGTGAGACCCGGGGGAACCGAGAGAACCGAGAGAGAACCGAGAGAACCGAGAGAGAATCAGTGAGTCCCACCCGGGGGGAACCGGGAGAACCGAGAGAAAACTGAGAGAGCACCGAGAGCCCCGAGAGCCCCGGCCCCGCCGTTACCGCAGCGCTGCGGGATGTGGTGCGGGTCCGCCCGGCACCGGAGCTGCTCCCGGTGCTTCTCCCATTGCCGTTCCCGGTGTCGATCACGGTGCTGTTCCCGTTCCCGGTGCCGTTCACGTTCCAGGAGCTGCTCTCGGTGCCTCTCCCGTTGTCGTTGCTGTTCCCGGTGCTGTTCACGGAGCCGTTCCCGGAGCTGCTCCCGCTCCCGGTGCCGTTCATGGAGCTGCTCCTGGTGCCGTTCCCGGTGCCGCTCCCATTGCCGTTCCCGGTGTCGATCACGGTGCCGTTCACGGAGCCGCTGCCGAAGCCGCTCACGGTTCCGTTCCCGGTTCCACTCTCAGTCCCGTTGCCGCTCCCGTTCCCGACTTCGCTCCCGTTCCCGGGTCTGTTCAGGGTCCCAGTTCCGTTCCCGTTCCCGGTTCCACTCTCAGTCCCGTTGCCGCTCCCGTTCCCGGCTCTGTTCCCGTTCTCAGTTCCGTTCCCGTTACCGTCTCCGCCGCCACTGCCGGTACCGAGCCCGCCCGGGCACCCGCTCCCGTTGCCGCTCCCGTTCTCCGCTCTGTTCCCGTTCTCAGCTCCGCTCCCGTTCCCGGTACCGATCCCTGCCGGGCACCCGCTCCCGTTGCCGTTGCCGCTCCCGTTGCCGGCTCTGTTCCCGTTCTCAGCTCCGCTCCCGTTGCCGCTCCCTTTGCCGTTCCCTTTGCCGTTCCCGTTCCCAGTCCCGTTCCCGTCTCCGTTCCCGGTACCGATCCCTGCCGGGCTCCCGCCCGCTCCCGCCGCCCGCTCCGCCATTCTCATTGGCCGCCCGCCCCCCGCGCCGCCGCTCCCATTGGCTGCCGCCCCGGACAGTCCCGCCCCCGCCGTGAGGCGCTCCGAGAGCTGATTGGTGGAGACGCAGAGCCTTTTCATTGGTCCGCGGAGATGCGGGATTACTATTGGTCAGAGTGGATGCCAATCAAACCATTCTGTTGTTTGATTGGCTGAAAGCCGGCGAGTTCCGCCTTTATCCTTCTATTGGCTAAAACCACGCGCGGATCTCGCTTYCCATTGGTCGCTCCCCTCAAACTCTTCCCTCCCATTGGCTCAGCGCGCTGTCACTCATCCCCACCACCTCACAATGAGCTCAGCGTGCGACCGTCCATAAACAATACCGCCGAAACCCCGCCCACTTCCGCCTCCAAACCCCGCCCCTTCCGGCCCTTCCCAAGATGGCGCCACCCATCCGCGGTCTGCGTTCGTAACCGCTCCCGGATCGTTCCCGGGGCTCCGATCGGTCCCGGATCGGTCTCGGATCGGTCCCGGATCGTTCCCGGTGCGCGATGGCGGCGGCTGCGGGCGGAGGATCCGGCGGGGACCGAAGGGAACCGCCTCACACTCTGCAGGGGCTGCTGGAGATGGCGCTGGTGGCGGGAGAGGCTCAGCCCGAGCCCCGCGAGCCCATGGCCCAGGAGGTCTGAGGGGATCTGAGGGGAAATTTGGCTTTTTTCCGGTTTATTTCGGGTTTATTTTGGGGTTCGGGTTCTGATTTTTTGGTTCAGGGCCTGATTTTCTTTTTTCGGTTCAGGGTCTAATTTTGGTTTTTTTTCGGCTCAGGGTCTGATTTTCGGGTTTATTTTACGGTTCAGGCTCTGATTTTGGGCTTTATTTTGGGGTTCAGGGTCTGATTTTGGGGTTTATTTTGGGTTCATGGTCTAATTTTGGGGTTTTTTTCGGTTCAGGATCTGATTTTCGGTTTTTTTTCAGTTCAGGGCCTGATTTTCGTTTTTTTTTTCCATTCAGGGTGTGATTTTTTGGTTTTTTTGGTGATTTTGGTTGATTTTGGTTGATTTTGGCTGATTTTGGACTGATTTTGGCTGATTTTTGGCTGATTTTGGCTGATTTTGACTGATTTTGGTTGATTTTGCTGTAACTTTGTGCAGCTTTCGTCAATTCTGATCCCTTTTTTCTAATTTTTGGGTTGATTTCTGTTAATTTTTATTTATTTTATATTTTTTAGCGGCAGCAGTGGCTCTGGGCAGCCCCGGGGGTGATTTTGCTGTAACTTTTCACCGTTTTGGGTTATTTTGGTGCCGGTTTTTTCACCATTTTCTCTATTTTAACGCAGTTTTTTTTCATTTTTATGAATAAATTTTATTATTTTTATATTTTTAGAGGCAGCAGTGGCTCCGAGCCGCCGTTTCCGAGGCTCTGGGCAGCCCCGGGGGCTCTCAGGCTCAGCTCCGCCGCTGTCTCGGGCTGATTTTGGTGTAACTTTGTGCAGGTTTTATCAATTTTAACGCGGTTTTTTTTGGTTTATTTTATATATTTTTATATTTTTATGTTTTCCAGAGGCAGCAGTGGCTCCGAGCCGCCGTTTCCGAGGCTCTGGGCAGCCCTGGGGGATCTCAGGCTCAGCTCCGCCGCTGTCTCGGGGTGGTTTTGGTGTAACTTTGTGCAGATTTTATCAATTTTAACGCGGTTTTTTTTATATTTTTATTTATTTTATATATTTTAGAGGCAGCAGTGGCTCCGAGCCGCCGTTTCCGAGGCTCTGGGCACTCCTGGGGGCTCTCAGGCTCAGCTCCGCCGCTGTCTCGGGGTCGTTTCTCGGCCGTGCCCGGGGGAGGCGGCGGCGGAGCGGGGACCTGGGGACAGCGGGGAACACGAGAGAGCCCTGGAGGAGCTGCAGGAGCTCTGTGAGAGCCTCGACAACGCCATCGGTGAGAATTTGGGGAATTTTTGGGATTTTTGATCATTTTGGGGTTTTTTTGGGTGATTTTTGGGTTTTTTTTGGTCATTTTTGGGGGTTTTATGAGGGGACCTGGGGACAGCAGGGAGCACGGGAGAGCCCTGGAGGAGCTGCAGGAGCTCTGTGAGAGCCTCGACAACGCCATCGGTGAGAATTTGGGGAAAATTCATGATTTTTAATGATTTTGGGGTTTTTTTTGGGTTTTTTTGGGTGATTTTTGGTGTTTTTATGGGGGTTTTAGGGGTGGTTTTAGGGGTGATTTTTGGGGACACAAAAGGGTTCTGGAGGAGCTGCAGGAGCTCTGTGAGAGATCGACAACGCCATCGGTGAGAATTTGGGGCATTTTTGGGATTTTTGATCATTTTGGGTTTTTTTTTAGTGATTTTTTGGTGATTTTTGGTGTTTTTATGGGCGTTTTGGGGCCATTTTTGGGTGGTTTTAGGGGTGATTTTTGGGGACACAAAAGGGTTCTGGAAGAGCTGCAGGAGCTCTGTGAGAGCCTCGATAATTCTCCAGGTATGGAATTTTGGGGTTATTTTGGGGTATTTTGAGATTTTTGATGATTTTTTATTTTTTTGGGATGGTTTGGGATGGTTTTGAGGGTGTTTTGGGGGTTTTTTTTGCCATTTTTGGGTGTTTTTAGTGGTGGTTTTGGGGACACGAGAGAGCCCTGGAGGAGCTGCAGGAGCTCTGTGAGAGCCTCGACAGCGCCATCGGTGAGAATTTGGGTTATTTTTGGGATTTTTGATCATTTTGGGTTTTTTTTGGGTTTTTTTGGGTGATTTTTGGGTGATTTTGGGCCATTTTTGGGGGTTTTATGAGGGGACCTGGGGACAGCGGGGAGCACGAGAGAGCCCTGGAGGAGCTGCAGGAGCTCTGTGAGAGCCTCGACAACGCCATCGGTGAGAATTTGGGGCAAATTCTGTGAATTTTGGGTTTTTTTACAATTTTTTGGTGTTTTTTGGGGTTTTTTGGCCATTTTTGGGTGGTTTTTGGGGGGTTTTGGGGACACGAGAGGGCTCTGCAGGAGCTCTGTGAGAGCCTCGACAACGCCATCGGTGAGAATTTGGGGAGAAATCACAAAATTTTGGGTTTTTTAGGATTTTTGGAGGGTTTTTTTGGCGATTTTTGGGGATTTTTGTGACGATTTTTGATGGTTTTAGCGGTGGATTTGGGGACATGAGAGGGCCCTGCAGGAGCTCTGTGAGAGCCTCGACAACGCCATCGGTGAGAATTTGGGGAAATTTCATGATTTTTAATGACTTTGGGGTTTTTTTTGGGTTTTTTTTGGGTGATTTTTGGGGTTTTTTTGGTGTTTTTAGGGGTGGTTTTTGGGGGTTTTGGGGCCACGAGAGAGCCCTGGAGGAGCTGCAGGAGCTCTGTGAGAGCCTCGACAACGCCATCGGTGAGAACTTGGGGCATTTTTAGGATTTTTGATCATTTTGGGGTTTTTTTGGGTTTTTTTTGGGTGATTTTTGGTGTTTTTATGGGGGTTTTATGAGGGGACCTGGGGACAGCGGAGAACACGAGAGAGCCCTGGAGGAGCTGCAGGAGCTCTGTGAGAGCCTCGACAACGCCATCGGTGAGAATTTGGGGAAAAATCTGCATTTTTGATCATTTTTGATAATTTTGGGGCTTTTTTTTGGTGGTTTTTGGGGTTTTTTTGGTGTTTTTAGGGGTGGTTTTTGGGGGTTTTGGGGACACGAGAGAGCCCTGGAGGAGCTGCAGGAGCTCTGTGAGAGCCTCGACAACGCCATCGGTGAGAATTTGGGGAAAATTCTGTGAATTTTGGCATTTTTGATCATTTTTTATTATTTTGAGTGGTTTTCAGGTGGTTTTGGGGCCATTTCCCATGGGATTTTTGTGTTTTTTGCTCTCCTAACCCCATTTTTTCATGGATTTTCTCCATTTTTTCACCGATTTTTATCATTTTTTCCCCATTTTCTCCGTTTTTCTCCCCAGATTTCTGCTCCCTGGGCGGTCTGGAGCTGATTTTGCCCCTCCTGGGGTGGATTTGGGGCCATTTCCCATGGGATTTATACGAATTTCCCCATATTTTCCCCATTTTTTATGATAATTTTGTCATTTTTTCACCGATTTTCCCCATTTTTTCACCGTTTTTCCCCATTTTCTCTGTTTTTCTCCCAGATTTCTGCTCCCTGGGCGGTCTGGAGCTGATTTTGCCCCTCCTGGGGTGGATTTGGGGCCATTTCCCATGGGATTTATGCAATTTTCCCCATATTTTCATTGTTTTATATCATATTTTCCCCATTTTTTCACCGATTTTCCCCATTTTTTCACCGTTTTTCACCATTTTCTCTGTTTTTCTCCCCAGATTTCTGCTCGCTGGGCGGTCTGGAGCTGATTTTACCCCTCCTGGGGTGGATTTGGGGTCATTTCCCATGGGATTTGGGTGTTTTCCATGGTTTTTGATCATTTTTTATCGTATTTTCGTCATTTTTTCACCGATTTTCACCATTTTTTCACCGTTTTTCACCATTTTCTCTGTTTTTCTCCCCAGATTTCTGCTCCCTGGGCGGTCTGGAGCTGATTTTACCCCTCCTGTCCCACCCCTGGGTCATTTCCTGTGGGATTTATGCCATTTTCCCCATTTTTTCATTGTTTTATATCATAATTTCGCCATTTTTTCACCGATTTTCACCATTTTTTCACCGTTTTCCCCCATTTTCTCTGTTTTTCTCCCCAGATTTCTGCTCGCTGGGCGGTCTGGAGCTGATTTTACCCCTCCTGTCCCACCCCTGGGTTATTTTGGGGTGGATTTTGGGTCATTTCTTACAGAATTTGGGCGTTTTTTATCGTATTTTCCCCATTTTTTATGATAATTTTGTCATTTTTTCACCGATTTTCCCCATTTTTTCACTGTTTTTCACCATTTTCTCTGTTTTTCTCCCCAGATTTCTGCTCCCTGGGCGGTCTGGAGCTGATTTTACCCCTCCTGTCCCACCCCTGGCCCCCGATCCGGGCCGGGGCCGCGCGCGTTTTGGGGACCTGCGCTCAGAACCTCCCGCGGGCTCAGGGCCGGGCGCTGACCCTGGGGGCTCTGCCGGCGCTGCTGGGGGGGCTCCGGGGGGACCCCGACCCCAGAGTGCCCCCTGCGGCTCTCTTTGCAATCTCATGTGAGTTTTGGGTGAAATTTGGGGGATTTTGGGTGAAATTTGGGTGAAATTCGGACAAAAATCGGCTGAAATTTGGGTGAATTAGAGCGGTTTTTAGCGGAGGTTTGGGCAGATTTGGGAGTGGTTTTGAAGGAATTTGGGGAGGGTTTTGGGGGTCCTGAGGTGGTTTGGAATGGATTTTGGGGAGTTTTGGGTGAATTTTGGCAGTTTTTGGGTGAAAATTGGGTGAAATTTGGGTGAATTTTGGGTGAATTAGAGCGGTTTTCGAGCGGTTTTTTGGGGGCGGTTTTGAACAGTTTTGGTGTTTTTGGGGAGGGTTTTGGGGGTCCTGGTGGGGTTTAAGAGGCTTTGGAATGGATTTTGGGGAGTTTTGGGTGAATTTTGGCAGTTTTTGGGTGAAAATTGGGTGAAAATCAGGTGAAATTTGGGTGAAATTTGGGTGAATTAGAGCAGTTTTTGGGGGCGGTTTTTAAAGGGTTTTGGGTGGTTTTGGGGAGGGTTTTGGGGGTCCTGAGGGTGATTTGAAAGGGTCTGGGATGGATTTTGGGTGAATTTGAGGGGTTTTTAGGTAAATTTTGGCAGTTTTTGGGTGAATTTTGGGTGATTTTTGGGTGAATTTTGGGTGATTTTTGGGTGAATTTTGGGTGAATTGTCGCGGTTTTTGGGGTGTTTTTGGTCCCTTTGGGGGCTCTGCCGGCGCTGCTGGGGGGGCTCCGGGGGGACCCCGACCCCAGGGTACCCCCTGCTGCACTTTTCACCATTTCCTGTGAGTTTGGGACATTTTGGGTGAAATTTGGGTGAAAATCGGGTGAAATTTGGGTGAAATTCGGACAAAAATCGGCTGAAATTTGGGTGAATTAGAGCGGTTTTTGGGGGCGGTTTTGAAGGATTTTAGGGAGCATTTTGGGGGTCTTGAGAGGGACCTGAGAGGGTTTGGGATGGATTTGGAAGGATTTTGGGTGAATTTTGGCAGTTTTTGGGTGAAAATCGGGTGAAATTTGGGTGAATTTTGGGTGAAATTTGGGTGAATTAGAGCGGTTTTTGGGGGTGGTTTTGAAGGGTTTTGGGGAGGGTTTTGGGGGTCCTAAGGGTGATTGGAGAAGGTTTGGGATGGATTTTTGGTGAATTTGAGAGGTTTTTGGGTAAATTTTGGCAGTTTTTGGGTGAAAATCGGGTGAAATTTCGGTGAAATTTGGGTGAATTTTGGGTGAAATTTGGGTGATTTTTGGGTGAATTGTCCCGGTTTTTGGGGTGTTTTTGGTCCCTTTGGGGGCTCTGCCGGCGCTGCTCGGGGGGCTCCGGGGGGACCCCGACCCCAGGGTACCCCCAGCAGCCCTTTTCGCCATTTCCTGTGAGTTTTGGGTGAAATTTGGGGGATTTTGGGAAAAAATCGGGTGAAA